GTCAGTTTCTCCTTGGCATCAGGTTTCGTTGGATGTCTCCCAGCCCATCCAGCATAGGCATATTTTCCAACAACAGCCCTACTGTGAAAGTAAGAAGGCAATTGCCCTTTAACTCCATCTCTGTTCATCAAGGAGAGTCAGTGACACCCTGCCTCTGAGGCTGGAGAGTTCATCGAGCCATTGATTTCTATAATCCCCTTCTAAAGCCATTTAAGCTTGTCACTCCCACTTGCATGTGCACTCTCTCAATCCCTCTCTTGTGCACACATGCACATAGAGATCCCGTGGACCAAACTGGTCAAGAAACTAAACCACGAATGAGGCAACATCCAGTTTGAGATTGGTCTCTGCCATAAGCTCTGGGCCAGATTGAAGAGAGAGGGGGACAGAAGACCATTCCACCTTGTCTCCTGTCCTATGCTAATATTATAATATAATATATTGTATATACATATAATAGTTATAATATTATAATATAATGCAATATAATACCAATACCAATAATAATATATTATAATTATATATTTATATTACACATAATATTATTAATAATTTATATAAATAAAAATGTAATGTCAGACTACACAGAGAAGCCATTGAAATCCACAAGCATGTGGACAATTTCAACAGAAAGGAAGAGACCATGAAAATGAACAAAATCTGGCTACCAGTATTAAAAAACTCTAAAATTACAACAGCAAAACAGCAGAGAGGAAACAACCAGGCACATCCTAACACCTCTCAACAAAAGATTTTCCCAGGCTCAGCCAGGCCTTCAAATGCTAATGAAGGTGGTCAGTTGAAACATTCACACCTAGCTACAGCAGAGAAGAGCTCTTTGCCCCACCCCAGCCATTCCACAGCCATTGTCCTTATTCCAACAGACCTCACTACCTCTGAGGATGCTTGCCATAGATGCAGGCGAAACGTCAGGAGAAATGCCTCTAGAACATGGCCCTATAGCCCGAAAAAAACCCACAAGAACCTAGTGATTCCAGCCATGAAAGCTTCGACAATACAATGTAATGTTTGTTTGTGTGATTAACATAACTCAAAAACCACTGGACGAATTGACACCAAATTTGGATACAATACACCTATCAGGCCAACGAGTGACCATCACTCAAAAAACACTGATAAACACAACAAAAGGGACTTCAAAAACCAAAAAAGCAAAAAGATGCTACAATGCATGTGCAAAAACGACTCCCCCGGCAAACAAAACACACAAAAGTATATCCACACTCTCTTTCAGACTATAGCTCCCAGCATCCCCTTTAGGAGAGGAGGTTGCTCCAAATGCCCTGCTTCCAAGCTGCAAACTTGCTTCTCCTTGGATTTCTTTGAGAGCATCCCAATCCCTGCATATTCCCAATTTCCTATTTCTGGACTGCAACTCTCAGCAATCCTCCAGATAGATTAGATAGAGAAATAGATAAATCGATCAGGAGGACTGCTGGAAGTTGCAGCCCAAGAATAGGTTGAGAAGGAAGAAAGGAGAGAAAGAGGAAGGGAAGAGGAAGAGAAGGAAGGAAGAAGGAAAGAAAAAGGTGAAGAAATGAATGAGAGAAAGAAAGGTGGAGAGAAAGAGGGAGGGAAGGTTGGCCACAGCAACATGTGGTGGGTACAGCTAGTATTACAATATAATGGTATAGTAATATAGTAATATTTAATACTGATATTATACTATTATACTGATATTATACTATGGTAATAATATATTTTATGTGTATGTATGTATGTGTATGTATGTGTGTGTGTATGTGTGTGTGTTATATATATATATATATCGTAAGCTGCTCTGAATCCCTTTCGGGGTGAGAAGGGCGGCATATAAATGTTGTAAATAAATAAATAAGCTCAAATCATGGCCCTTGGGAAAGCTGTTCTCTTTTCTTCTGGCTCGGGCCTACCTACCCAATACTGAAGATGCACACAGGCGGTAGAATTAATATAGTTGGACACTTTAAGTGCCATGACTCAATGTTATAGAACTTGGGAGCTGGAGTACAGTAAGTAATCAGCACTCTTCAACAGAGAAAGCTAAAGACCTTATGAAACTACAACAGCCATGATGCATGGAAGTTAAAAGTGGTGTCAAATTGTATTAACTCTACAGCAGTGTTTCTCAGTCTTCCTAATGCCGTGACCTCTTAATACAGTTCCTCATGTTGTGGTGACCCCCAAACATAACATTATTTTCGTTGCTACTTCATAACTGTAATTTTGCAACTGTTATGAATCGTCATGTAAATATCTGATATACAGGCTGTATTTTCATTCACTGGACCAAATTTGGCACAAATACCAAATACGCCCACGTTAGAATACTGGTGGGAGTTGGGAGAGTTGGGAGGGGGATTGATTTTGTCATTTGGGAGTTGTGGTTGCTGGGATTTATAGTTCACCTACAATCAAAGAACATTCTGAACCCCACCAACAATGGAATCGAACGAAACTTTGTCTACAGAACTCCCAAGAGTAACAGAAAATACTGGAACGATTTGGTGAATTTTGGAGTTGTAGTTCACCTACATCCAGAGAGCACGGTGGACCAAACTTGATGGAGGTGGACCAAACTTGGCACAAATACCCAATATGCCCAAATATGAATACTGGTGAAGTTTGGGGGAAATAGACCTTGATATTTGGGAGTTGTAGTTACTGAGATTTATAGTTCACCAACAATCAAAGAGCATTCTGAACCCTACCAACGATAGAATTGAGCCAAACTTCCCACACAGAATCCTCATGACCCACAGAAAATATTGTGTTTTCTGATGGTCTTTAGCAACATGTCTGACACCCCTTTGCGACCCCAGGTTGAAAAACACTGTTCTATAGTGTAAATGCACCTCGGGAACTCCTTTTCAAGGCTGACGATATGAAAAGGCACAGGAAATATTCTGCAACTTCGGAGTTCTTAAAACTGTCCTCAAAGCAAAACACACATGGATCAAGAGGCACCGAAGCCTAAGAACTTTCCCAGCCCAAATCTTCCTTTCTTCCATGTCAAAGTGAGTATAGTCACTGTTTGGGGGAGACACAACTCCCAGAATCCCTAAAGAGGTGGAGGTCTGATTAATCATGCCCTCTGTTTGTAAGAAAAGAAGGTTAAAAGAGGACATTTTGTAGCCATGTTTAAAAATTTGAAATGAAGTCTCATTGAGGAGGGAGAAAGCTAGGATATTCAGCTGTCAAGGGGGCTTTGATAGTGTCATCCTACATGGAAAAAAGGGTAGGACTGGATGGCCCTTAGGGTCTCTTCTAACACTAGTATTATGCACCTACAGTTTATTTATTTATTTATGGCATTTATATGCCGCCCTTCTCACCCCGAAGGGGACTCAGAGTGGCTTACAATATATATTTTCATACAATATATTATATTATTAGCATAGTACAATATCAGTATATATTACTATATATAGAGTTGGTATTCTTCATGTCTTTTTGAGCTGTCTCTATATCAAGACTGGAATATCGACTTGTGAGGCCACAACAAGGTCTACAATTCAGCCCAGTTCAGGTAGGAATCTTCATGGACAATAAGTTGACCATGAGCCAACAGTGTGATGCAGCAGCTAACAAAGCCAATGGGATTTTGGCCTGCATCAAAAGGAATTTGAATCACAAAATCACACAGTTGGAAGAGGCCTCAAGGACCATCCAGCCCAACCCCATTCTGCCAATTCAATCCCTCCCGACAGATGCCCATCCAGCCCCTGAATAATAGAATCCTAGAGTTGGGAGAGACCCCAAGGGCAATCCAGTAAACCCCCCTTCTACCAATCAAATCCCTCCCGACAGATGTCCATCTCGCCTCTGAATAATAGAATCCTAGAGTTGGAAGTGATCCCAAGGCCCACAAAGTCCAACCCTTCTGTCAATCAAGTCCCTCCTGACAGATGCCTATCCAGCCTGTGAATCATAGAATCCTAGAGTTGGAAGAGATCCCAAGGGTGATCTAGTAAAACCCCCTTTTCCCAATCAAATCTCTTCCGTCAGATGTCCATCCAGCCTCTGAATCACAGAATTTTAGAGTTAGAAGAGACCCCCAAGGGTCATCCAGTCCAACCCCCTTAGGCCAATCAAATCCCTCCCGACAGATGTCCATCCAGCTTCTGAATCATAGAATCATAGAGTTGGAAGAGACCCCAAGGGCAATCCAGTTAACCTCATTCTGCCAATCCCAGCCCGCCTGACAGATGCCCATCCTGTCTCTAAATCACAGAATCCTAGAGTTGGGAGAGACTGCAAATGCCATTAAGTCCAACCCCATTCTGCCAATCCTCACAACAGATGACCATCCCGTCTCTGAATAACAGAATCCTAGAGTTGGAAGAGACCCCAAGGGCAACCCAGTCCAATCCAGTCCCGACAGATGTCCATCCAGCCTCTGAATCACAGAATTCTAGAGTTAGAAGAGATTCCAAGGGCCATCCAATCCAACTCCCTTGGGCCAATTAAACCCCTCCCGACAGATGTCCATCCAGCCTCTGAATCACAGAATTCTAGAGTTAGAAGAGACAACAAGGGCCATCCAGTCCAATCCCCTTAGGCCAATCAAACGCCTCCCGACAGATGTCCATCCAGCCTCAGAATCATAGAATCCTAGAGTTGGAAGAGACTCCAAGGGCCATCCAGTCCAACACCCTTAGGCCAATCAAATCCCTCTCGACAGATGTCCATCCAGCCTCACAGAATTCTAGAGTTAGAAGAGACTCCAAGGGCCATCCAGTCCAACACCCTTAGGCCAATCAAATCCCTCTCGACAGATGTCCATCCAGCCTCGCAGAATTCTAGAGTTAGAAGAGACTCCAAGGGCCATCCTGTCCAACCCCATTCTGGCAATTGCAATCCCTCCCGACAGATGCACGTCCACCCTGTGTTTAAACCCTTCCAGGCTCAATCCCCACCGGCCACTCTCCCTGTGGCTCCTTCCCGGCCTCCAGGCCGCAACCCTGCTAGGCCCGCCGCCTCCTCCCTCCCTCGCTCACCTGAGCCCCGGCAGCAGCGGGCTGGCTCCCTCCGTCCGTCCTGCCTCTCGGTGCCTTCTCTCGCCGCCTCCTCCTGGTTCCTTGCTCTCTTTCCTTTCTTTCTTCCCTTTCGGAGTCCCTCTCCCACCCCCAGCTCGCAGCCTCCGGAAACGGAAACGCCTCTCCTCGGCCACCCACTGGCCCTGACTCACCCCGAGCGTCACTTCCGGGATTAGGAGGAGGCGGGGGCAAAGTAAGTGACGTCACCTCCTGTCTCCCTCCCCCTTTTGGAAGGGCTGGCGTTGTCGGTCGGGCGGTGATTGGAGGAAAGGAACTTACGTCACTCCCTGGGCCCGGAAAAGGCGCGTGCGCAGAAGAGAAGCAGCAGGCCCAGGCTTGGACGTCACTTCCGGGGAGGAGGAGGAGGCAGGCATTGGGTTCCTCCCTTCCTTTTGTTGAGAGTTTAAAGGAATGCTTCCGGGCATTTGGTGTTATTGTTGTTATTATTGCATAAGCAGTTCTCATCATTATTAGTATTACTGATAGTATTATTACTATTGTTGTTGTTATAATATACTAGTAATTACATATTGCATAATAATTATTAATTATTATTATTAAACTTTATTTGTACCTTGAATTTTGGAGTTGTAATTTGTATAATTATTACCATATAATTATGGTAATATTTATATATAATATTGAGAGTTTGAAGGAATGCTTCCAAGCATTTATTATTATTATTATTATTATTATTATTATTATTATTATATAAACAGTTGTTATTGTTATTAATACTGATATAGTATTCTTACTATTGTAATAATAGATAAGTAATTATATATTACCTAATAATTATATTGTAATCATATACTAGTAAATACATATTACATAATAGTTATGGTAATGGAGCCCCCAGTGGCGCAGTGGGTTAAAGCCCTGTGTCGGCAGGACTGAAGACCGACAGGTCGCAGGTTCGAATCCGGGGAGAGGCGGATGAGCTCCCTCTATCAGCTCCAGCTCCTCATGCGGGGACATGAGAGAAGCCTCACACAAGGATGATAAAACATCAAATCATCTGGGCATCCTCTGGGCAACGCCCTTGCAGACGGTCAATTCTCTCATACCAGAAGCGACTTGCACTTGAACCTGGGGATCACAACCAGACATGGTGAAGACATCCGCCCTTGCGCTGTGCTACTCTGCTGCTGAGTATGCATGCCCAGTGTGGAACACATCTCACCACACTAAAACAGTAGATGTGGCTCTTAATGAGACATGCCGCATTATCACGGGGTGTCTGTGCCCTACACCACTGGAGAAATTACACTGTCTAGCCGGAATCGCACCAGCCGGTATCCGCCGGGAAGTGGCAGCCAATAGTGAAAGGACCAAGGCAGAGACATCTCCAGCTCATCCCCTGTTTGGGTATCAGCCAGCACGTCAACGACTTAAATCCAGACATAGTTTTCTAAGATCTACAGAGACACTCACTGGAACGCCTCAGCAAGCGAGAGTCCAAAAGTGGCAGGCTCAAACCCAGAACCTCAACCAATGGCTGAACCCAGATGAGAGACTCCCCCCTGGGCACACAGAGGACTGGGCGACTTGGAAAGCGCTGAACAGACTGCGCTCTGGCACCACGAGATGCAGAGCCAACCTTAAGAAATGGGGCTACAAAGTGGAATCCTCGACATGCGAGTGCAGAGAGGAGCAAACCACTGACCACCTGCTGCAATGCAACCTGAGCCCTGCCACATGCACAATGGAGGACCTCCTTGCAGCAACACCAGAAGCACTCCAAGTGGCCAGATATTGGTCAAAGGACATTTAATCAACTACCAAACTCACAAATTTTGTATTTTGTCTGTTTGTTTGCTTTGTTCTGTTAGTAATGTAATATAATTTGACTGGTTGTCCTGACACGACAAACAAACAATCACTGATAGTATTCTTACTATTGTAATAATAGATTAGTAATTATATATTGCCTAATTATTTTAATTATACATAATTACAATTATATATAATATTTTATGGCAATGTGTATATATATATATATATCTGTAAAGTATATAATTATTATAAGAGATTATATACTTATATTACTTTAAGGAGACAACAGGATCCCAGCTGAACTGCTTTAAATCTTAAAAGATGATGCTGTCAAGGTGATGCATGCCATATGCCAGCAAATATGGAAATCACAAGAATGGCCATCAGACTGGAAAATATCAACTTATATCCGCATACCAAAAAAGGGAAATGCGAAAGACTGCTCAAACTTCCGTACAGTGGCCCTTATTTCTCTTTTTTTGTTGTTGTTGTGTCAGGAGTGACCTGTTGTGAGAGAATTGGCCGTCTGCAAGGACGTTGCCCAGGGGACGCCTGGATGATTTTTGATGTTTTAT